CCTGTGTTTACCAAATAAGGGAGATGTCATAGTGGTCTGCTAGACACACTGGCACCAATACCACCACCTTATACAGAGTATGGTTTGTGGCTGTTTACAACTTGGTACAAACATTTGGGAGATAGTAGGAACTGCCGATGCTGGAGTCTGAGATAACAAGGTGTGGAGCTGGATGAATGTAGCAGGCCAGGCAGCATCAGAGGAGTAGGAAAGCTAATGTTTCGGGCCTGGACCCCAAACTGGGTCTGAAGAACATCAGTCTTCCTGCTCCTCTGATGCTGCCTGGTCTGCTGTGTTCATCCAGCTCTACATCTTGTTAGAAACCTTTGGGAGTTGTTTACCAGTAAACTCCATTGGCTGGGATTGAACATTATGACCAGTTTGGTCAATTCATGGCTGAGTGCCAGAGAATTTTCTAGAAGGATGAGCACAATTTGTGATAAAAATTAGCAGAACAAAGGATTTTGCAGGACTGAGCCTCAAGACCAACATTTGAGAAGCACATGCCCTGAAATTATCTTCAGAGAAGACAAAGACCCACGAGGCAAGATCTACACTAAGAGCAAAATTGACTGCTTCAGTTCAGTTAGGGTAGTATTTGTTTCAAGCCGAGCGTAGAGTTAAAGTTAGAATTGGGTTAAATGTAGGTTAAGTTGAGGTAAGCTAAAGTGAAGTTAAATGCAGTGAGTTAAAGTCAAAGTTATGTTCAATGAAGTAAAATGTAACTTTTACCAAATGTATGTTTTATGAGCATTGATACTGAAAGGGTTCAATAAAGAAGGGTTTGTTTAGTTAAAGTCCAGGTTGACTGCTTGTCATCTGACTGTCAACACTTTGGGGGGGTGGGGGTGTGTGTGTGTGTATGTGTGTATGTGACATTTGGGTGGTTCGGGGTTTGGTGACAAGGATGTGACCCTAAGAACAAATTTCTGGATTGGAGTGCTGTGGGAATATGGAGGTAATGGATTTCAGTGAGCACCAGAACACTGGGTGAGAGGGAGAAGGCAGGAAAATGGGGTTGAGAAACATATCAGCAATGATCAAAACTTGATATGGGTGAGCAGACTCAATGGGTCGAAAAGCCTAATTCTGCTTCACTATCTGTGCTATTATGGAGAGGGGCGTAAGAGAGTCCATTTTTCACTCCTGTGCCTAGACAGTGCACATCAGCAGAATATACCAAATCAGCGCGGCTCCACTGTGTCCTTCGCTCACCTTCATATACATGCAACCTTGGTTAGACCACTATAGGAGCACTTGGCCTGTCTATTGTATCAAGAATATTGTGTCATTGGAGAAATTTCAAAATATATTTACTGGGATTAACCGCAAGGTTACTTGTTCTGGGAAAGATAGAAAATAACAGACTGCAGGATGATTTATAGAAGTCTTGAAAATTATCAAAGAGCTTGGCAGAGTTGACATCGAGATGTTTTTGCTTGCAATGCAAAACCAAATCTAGAGACCATAAATTCAGAATGATCACTAAGAAATCTGTTAAGGAATTCAGGAGAAACTCCTTTCAGCAGAGACTGGCGAGAATGTGCAACTTGCTACTAAATGGAGTTATAGATGGGAATGCCATTAATGCATTTAAGGGAAAATAAGTTACACTCATGAAGGTGGAAGAAATAGGAGGATGTGCGATTGGAGTTAGAAGTTCAGCATGAGGTTGGTGGGGCACATAAATATCAGCATGGACCTTTTAGGCCAATTGTCCTGTAGCTGAGCTTATAACTTCTTAGCAATTGATTTTTCCAGTGGGGACCACATGATAGTGAACCTTCTTCAGAGTGGAAGCAGACATTGGTCTGAAGGTCACTGAACTCGAAACATTAACTCTGTTTTCCTCTTCACCGATGCTGCCTGACCTGCTGAGTTTCTCCATTTCTTTCTGTTTTTGTTTCAGATTTCTGGTATTTCTTTCAAAAGTATCCTTTGTTACCCTAAACTGTTTGAGATTAGCCAATTCAGCACTGACCCCACAATGTATCTGAAGTGCTTCCTACGGCTTACAAAATGAGTCCAAGGGACCTTTCCACGTCAGTTACTCATTTTAAAGTAAATATTCTGTACTTATCCTGCGTGTAATTTTAGGTTGTTGTAATCTAGCTTCATCCTCATGTCATCCCAGAGC